TGTGTATAAGACACCCCCATGTATAAAATGCCCCCCACTTTTCTAACCCAAAATTAAGAAATCTAAGTGGGGCTTAGCAAGTGTAGTGGGAAAGAAATCAAAGCCATGCAGGATCACTTTGATCCCTGTTTTCCCCTCCACTTGTTTTTTCTCCCCTCAGCTTACTTACATGTATAAGACAACCCTCAATTTTTAGTCTAAGGATTTTGAACAAAAGTATTGTCTTATACATGGAAAAATACGGTAACTGTTGTCGTTTTTGGAGGAGGGGCCTTTAAAATACAGGATTTGAACACCACTGAGGATTGAAGGCTCCAAGATCTCTCTTGTTGGCAGCCTAGCCTGGCCAGCGTATCCCCTCTGTGACCACTCTCTCTCTCTCTCGCAGGCCAGAGCCGCTTCGGGCTGGAGCACACCAAGCCTCGGCGTTTACAGTGGACATGGTTGGGCCATGCAGAGCTCGAGTACCAGGGCCGCATCCTGCACGTCTCTACCCTGCAGATGTACATCCTTCTGTGCTTCAACCATGCTGAGGTCCTGACTGCCTTGATTCTCACTTGGTTCTTCTAGGCTGGCCTCTTTTGCTTCTTCCATCCATCTGGCATTCCCTACATTTTACATACAGTTGTGCCTCGCATTACGACGTTAATTCGTTCCAGCGAAATCGCTGTAAAACGAAAACATCGTAATGCGATTTTTAAAAGCCCATAGAAACGCATTAAAACCCTAGGGGCTTGAAACTCACCGTCCAGCGAAGATTCTCCATAGCACGGCCATTTTTGCTGCCTGTGCAGCGAGGAATCTGTCCCAGAAAAGGGGGTGGCCATTTTGTTCACCTGGCGGCCATTTTGAAACTGCCGATCAGCTGGCCGAAAATCATTGCTTTACGATGATCGGTTCCCGAAGCAGGGAACCGATCATTGCAAAGCGAAATTCCCACATAGGGAACATCGTTTTGCGATCGCTAAAACATGCGCAAAAACATGGATCTCTAGTGATTTCGTCGTCAAACGGAGCACCCGTTAAGCGAGCCACCACTGTACCACGGGAAGAATTCTACGAAATGGGAGCTGATCTTTATGTCCATGACTAGAATGTAAGATAGCATTGTATCAGTGGCTTCTGCTAATCACTTAGTACCAAAAAGCAGTGAAAATCCTTCTGTTTCCACAATCATTGAGGGCCTAACAGTAGTTGTTAAGGGACAGACAAGAATCCTTCGTCTCCTTCAGCATCACAGTACAGCCTGAAGCCTGAGCCTCAAGAACGTGACTTTCTTACTGATGGCCGAGGCACAGATGAGATCTTTCTATAATTTATTGAGAGTCTTTGCCTGGGAGCTCCTCCTCTTCTTTGTGTACCCGAGAGGCCAGTGTGACTTAAGGGCTTGTTAGAATGTTTTTTTTCTTTGAAGGGCTCACTGAAGTTCAGAGGCTATTTATGTCCACATACAGTATTATTCTCCCTTTCCCTCTTTGTAGAGTCAACCTTGTTTTTCTCTCTAGGAGGTTTCTTTGGATACACTATTGCAAGCTACAGGCCTTTCTCCTGTCCTTCTGAGTCATGCACTGAAACCTTTGACGAAAGAGAATGGTATCCTGACCCAGAGTCAAAGTAAGTGCTGAGGGATGTTGAGTTTGAAGAGGGGATCCAGACCTAGCGAGTGGGTGGATATCTTTCAGCTCTTTCTTTGAAACACTTGGCGGTATTACCTCTGCCGGCTGAGGTGATACAGCTGAAGAAGGATTTTCCAGTCGCTGCATCGATTTGTAAAGTGAATTTAGGAAGTCTGCAGTGCCTTTGCTGCCTGAAGCCATATACATTTTGACTCTAGGTGTCTTGAAGCTGAATGAAGGGATGCTGTCACAGGTGTCGGGTCAGCGCTTTTGGCTATTGCCCAAACAGATGTACCTGAATGTAGAGGAAGATGAAGGCAGTGCTCTGGAGAGGAAGAGGAACATCATCTGTTGCCTTCTCATCCAGATCCTGAAAGAGGAGAAAGAGATACACATTGACAACTTGGTGTTCAAGGTACGGAATGCAGGCCTGGGGCTGGATAGTTAGTCCATTTGGTAGCCAAAATTACCCAATTCACTTTGTGGTATCTACCCATTCATTTGGGTGGCTCATTCACTGTACCTTTCTCAGGTGATTGATGCTTGCCAGAAATGGGAGTCCAGCTCGACTCTGAAGTTCTTGAGCTTTTGCTGCAGTAGCACTGATGTCTTGTCATGCATCCTGCATCTGCTGAGCCAGGGCTACATCCGGCGCCAAGAGGACAACCCACAGCTTCTGGAGTACATTTGTGCAGAGCCCAGTACACCCCACCGGGGCCAAGCTCAACTCATCTTTCAGACCACTGATAGCCAAAAGAAGAAAAAGCCTCCTGAGACTGATGCTGGAAACAAATTCTCTCCTTTCAGGTAATGTTTGATACTAATGTATTGTGATAACAGCTGGAGTGGGGCCCTCTGTGCATATTGTGAATCAAAAAGATCAATGTCTTTGTTATTTCTTCCCCAGCCCCACCCACTTTCTGCCAGTTCACAATCATTGCTGTTGTCCAGCTGGGCAAAGTAACTTGTTACTTACATGTTCAGAACCTGTTCTGGTTTTTATTCCTGCTCCTTCTTGAAAATATTGAAGTGCCTCCCACACAACGAATGAGCATCCACCCCCTGAAAACTGGCAGGTGCTTTGCTTTTAAAGAATTCTGATGCCTTCCTTTAAACCAAAACAGTTGCGTGACTTCTTAGACAGGCTTACAGAACTCTTGGAAGTCTTCAAGTAGTATTAATGATATCATTGCTCATGGTGCTGCATAATACTGTAACATCCATGTTGCAGAAGTATAGCACTTACAACAGATACATGTTGTAGCTTTAGGCAATACTTTCAATCACAACATGATAAATGCTTCTGGGCAGCTTCCCAGAGTGCTGCAAATGTGTCCTGGAAGCCACATATTTCATGTACAGCTTCAGTTTGAAAAAAGCCTTCCAGATTTTTAAAGAGCAAAATAAAGATTAGTTTTTGAGGCTGGGGAGGCGTATACCCATAGGAGAATGAAACTGATTGTGGAAAAATGAAATGTATGGTTGGGATGTTCTGTTATTCATGAAGAACAATAGCATTTTGGAGTCACTACTGCCAAAAGTTATTCAGTACAAGTAATGTGTTTATATTGCAACAAATAATTTCTAAGCTTTGATAAGGCCCTCCTTGTTGCAGGTTGGATGCCTTTGGCCTTGGTACAGAACAGGTGCTGATGGAGACTGTGTTGTTGCCCATGGGACGCACAATGAGCCAAGAAGAGGTGGAGGTACTGATGAACCAAACAGTGCAGAGAGTCTCGGATACTCTATGTGTGACTGCAGACGTAGCCCAGCACTTACTTATACACTGTAAGTGGAATGTGGATGTTCTAATCCAGCGATACACAGAAGATCTAGAGCAGCTGCTATATTCTTCAGGGCTCCAGGTGCGAAATCTGCAGCCATCCTCAAGCCCTATCACCCATTGTCCAGTGTGCTTGAATCCTCTGAATCAAGAAGACAACCCACCAGTTCTGTGTTGCTTACACTACTGTTGTAAGGTGAGGATTGGCCTCTTTTACTATCCTTATGGCAGGTACTCGGGTGGAGAAGTCAGATAACCCCCTTCTTAATTCTTATGTATACTTCTAGCAGTACTCATGGGAGTGTGTTGAAAGGATGGAGCAGATGTTTTTTCCCCCCCCCCCCACCCCCGGTTCCATGCATTCTTAGCTCTACCCACCTTCAGTTTGCTTTAGAGTTCAGGATATTGTGTTGCCATTCAAATCTACTATATGACAAAATGTCTTTTTTTTTAAACTTGTCCTATAACATTAATCGCTGGCATATTTTTAGAACTTAGCATCCTACATTTTCTTCTCTGTTTTCTCCGCTCAACCAGTCCTGCTGGAATGAATATTTGACAACTCGGATTGAACAAAACCTGATTCTGAACTGCATATGTCCTATCTCTGATTGCCCAGCACAGCCCACCACTGAGTTTATCCGTTCTATCATTTCTTCAAAGGAGGTCATTGCCAAGGTAGGCACAGTGATTCTGTTTGCATAGACTCAATCTGTTGGAGGAGTGACTAACTGCCCTAAGTGAGTGTTGTTTCAAGGTTGTTGTGAAGAACCAAGTTTATAGTTCTGAGAGAACATCTATTTCGTGATAAAGATGGGATCTACCAGTAATGTGTTACTTATTCTAGGTACGATGAATATCCCATTAACTGACATACAGCAGTTGACTTTCATGCTGTTCACATCCCTTTTTCGTATGTTTCAGTGTTCACTGACATGAAGCATCTAGAACAAAGTCCTCTGTAAGTGTCTGCTCTCCAGTTGTTAAGTGCTATGTATTCAGGACTCCTTGACCAGATTGGCAGGTGCCTACTTTGGTTAAAAAAAACTGGACTAACTTCCTTCAGCTCTTATTATTTGGGTTACATATACCCTGCACACAAAATATAAAGTGAATTTTCTGCAACACATTAATTACTTATTGTGTGCTAAAACGAATGAAATTCTAAATTTTGGGGGCATTTTGCAATATTGCAAATTCGCATCTTTCTTTTCATTTTCATAGTTTGAATTGTGATAATCCAGGGGTGGAGTTGTGATGGAAGTTTCCCCCTAAACATGAACATTCTTATGAGCATACACAACCCTTGCAGTTTTGATACCCCACCAGGCATTGCATGCTTTCATATGCTCTCTGCCGTTAAATGCTAGAAATTTCGGTTTACCTCCTATGGTGATAGAATTTCAGAATACACACACCCTTGTCTGTGATACACCAGAGTGATTACATTTCTAGGTCCACAAGGAGATTAGAATATCTGCTCTTCTGCAGCGTTCTGATTCGTCCCACAGTGGTTGCACATCTAACATCCTCACTACAGAGTAACAGATACAAATATCAAGACAAAGCCGTATCTGTGATGGTAATTACAGCAGAAAGAAAGTAGTTGAAGAAATTAATAAATGGTCCTTGAGTGTCGTTGTTCTTCTTAACATCACCTTTTCTCTGGTGGTGCTTCCATGCTTTTAATATCCAGAATCACCCTGGATTGCTGCTAGTGATTTCAACCCCAACAGTGGTGATCTGGTGGTGATTTTTTTATATTACTATCTCCACTTTCATCCCAAGGCATCCAAAGAGTTTCCCAGGTTGAAAGGGAGCCCTAGGGAGCCTCAGATCTTGGAAGCAGGGGAGGAGTAAATTAAAATATTACTCTTGTGGGATGATGATGTATCCGTGTTGATTGTATTATTTGTTCTGCCTTTGTTGAAGAAGTTTTTGATTTCATTTTTTGCCGTAGACTTCATAATGAATGTTGCCAAAGGGTTCCCAGGCTGTTGTGAGATGAATGACTAGACAACTGCAGCTGTTTTACATGGGAACCCCAAAGCTGCTACTTGTGGTTTTTGTTTCTGCAGTACGAAAAGGCGCTTCTGAGGGGCTATGTGGAATGCTGCTCAAACCTGACTTGGTGTACCAACCCTCAAGGCTGTGATCAGATCCTCTGCAAGGAAGGCCTTGGTTGCGGAGAAGCCTGTTCAAAGTGCTCTTGGATCTCTTGCTTCAACTGCAACTTCCCAGAGGTAGGACTAAGATATGGCCCAGAGGAAGGGCTGCTGCCTTCTTACAGTACAATTAATCTGGGTATTTGGTTTGCATGCAGCTTAGGCTATGTATTCCTTGCAGGCTCACTATCCTGCCAGCTGCAGTCACATGTCTCAGTGGATGGATGATGGTGGGTTCTATGAAGGTATGACTGTGGAAGCCCAAAGCAAGCACCTGGCTAAACTTATCTCCAAGCGTTGCCCAAGCTGCCAAGCTCAAATAGAGAAGAATGAGGGCTGTTTGCAGTGAGTACTTTCTTGTCTATATCTTGGCTTAAAGAGCAGAAAAATGACATGACCAGCTTTTGGTTGTTGGTTTTCCTAACTCCTCTTGGCTGGCTTGCTGATACCTTCTAGTTGCATCCAGACCCAGTTGCTGATCTGACCTGCTGTGTTGTCCTTGTCAGAATGGTAGATGCAGTACAATTGTGCCTTCTTGCTCATTCCTGAGGCATGAGGCTTCAGGACGCAGAAGAAAAACCAACTGCTTTGAATTTACCAGTTAGTCTAGAAAGTGTAGTTCAATCCTGCATCTCAGTGGCACTAGAAATATTTTGCTCACACCACTGGAGATGCACTCAGATCAGACAGACATAATCACAATTACTTCTGCCTCTGGAAGAAAGGTGGGAATGGTATTCTTTTTTGAAAAAAGAAAAAGTCTTGCCATGGGGTGTAAAAGAAGAGATTAAAATTCTGTCATTCTCTGAAGAAAAGGTGAGGCAATGATTTCATGGTCTATCCAGCCTATCAAAGATTGTGTGCCTTGTGCACACAAAACTATACAGATGTCTAATAGCTAAAAAGAGACTTTAAAAACCCTACAGGCTAAAACTAGGAGTTGCCTGTTCCTGTGAAACACCTCCCCTGTTCATAATTCAGCGGCCTTGAATTAGGATTAAATGTCATTCTTAAAGATATTCCATAGCTCAGCTATGGCTAGCATATATAAAATTATATTGTGAAAGACCTAACCCTATGTTGCCCTATAGCCACCTGCATGGTTAGCTAGATGGCTTTTTTCTGCTGCAGCGGGCTTGGGAGGGCACTAGAGAAAGGAATGGGAATGAGGTATCGCTTTATCCCCCTTTGCTTTTGCCTGGCTCCCCTTGATACCCAGTCCTCGAGCCTGTCTTGGAGCTGCATTAATGGAGTCGAAATGTATCTGTAACAAGGTCAATGCAAAGTCCCCTTCCCACAAAGGCAGGAAGAGATGCAGCTGGCCTACATGAATACTGATAGGGAGGGAGGAGAAAGAGGACAGGGCAAGCGGCAGCAATGCCAGAGCCTCCTGTTGTTAGAGTGTAATTTAGCTCCAAATGTTTTTGCTTACAGAAATAAGATCCATTAGTACTGTTTAATGCTTGGAACTGTTTGCTTGCAATGGCTCTTGTGTTTGCTTTTCTCAGATATAGTGCAACTGATACCCTGAAACACCAAAAGGCAGGGTCAGTTTGTTAGCAGCATTTGGTTTCTGCTTTTGTGGTGAGGAGTCTGTATGTTCCTTTTGCCATGTCGTGTCACACTGCATCCCTGTTAGTCATCTGCACAATAAATCTTTTGAGGCACCACTGGCTTTATGTCTTCTTCAGAACTCAAAGAAAATTAAGGTTATTGGAGCCCTGTCTGATCCAAAACCATGTGTTGGCACAATAGATGTGTAGAGTACAAGGAACAACCACCATTTCAGTTAGAGTTGTCTGGATAGCTCAGTGGTTTAGGTCAATGGTCTCCAACTTTTTTGAAACCATGGACCGGTTTAGTTAAAAACCATTCTCCCAAGGACTGGGGGTGGTGTACTTGTTATATAGTAGGTTTTTGGAATATAGCAGCAGCTTAGAACCTAATAGGAGCCTGCGCTCCTATTAGTACTTGTTATATAGTAGGTTTTTGGAATAGAGCAGTAGCTTAGAACCTAATAGGAGCCTGCACTCCTATTGGAAGTGCTGCTAGATCAGCTGTGCCACAGGCACAGCTGATCTAGCAGCAGCAGGAGGGGAGACTTCTTTGCCAAGATTCTCCATGATAGGCACCCCACTTCAGAGCTATAGCCTCCAATATTGAACTCCATACTTCAGCAACTGGGAGTCCTAGAATGCAGTGCTCCACACAGATAAATAAGGAAGGAGAGAAGCATGCCACAAAGTGCAATTACTGTAAATATCCCCACATCACGACACCTGGTTATCCACCTGCATTGCATTCGGAAGGAAGCCCGTGTGTGCCCCGCCGGCTTTATCGCACAGGGATGCAACTGAAACTACAGCCTTGAGTGCCCCCCCCCTCTCTGCATCAATTTAACTCTTTGTGATATGCAGTTACTTGAGGATGACTTACAGGGCGTGGCTGCCAGTCCTTTTGCATGGTGATTTTCCCAAAGGAATTGGGGATACCACCAAGAGTGCCCCAAGTACACACGCACGCTCTACCCCCAGCAGGTAACTACTGGGCAGAGGTGGCGGCAACTTAATTATTTTTTTCTGGGGGAGGGAATGTTGATGGGTCTTGACATTATTTTGCTTCGGTGCTGAGACACTCCACCGCCTTCGCCTGGCAAGGGGCCAAGCCCCGAGCGCCCCCACCTCTCTGCTCCCCATTGAGACGAGGCACCTCTTCCTCAGCACCGCCACTTCAGCAGCCCCGATCCACCCACCCTCTGCCCTTCCCTGAGGGAAACTAAGAGCCATGAAGCTACCTGGCAGAAGTTCTCAGTGGCAGCCCTCACCTGCACGCTGCCGCTGCCTCCTCGGCCTCTGGGAGGCCATTGCTGGCAGTGCCTCTCCTGACCCATCATGGCTGCCCCAGCTGGGGTGCCCCTTGCACTTTGTCTTTTTCACACTTTTGCTCTTTCATCCAAGAGCTCGGGGGTCACTGTGGACACCGGTGAGTCTGCAGGGTGGGGCTGGGCAGCGAAGGGGATCCAACTCCTCCCCCCCTCCGTGCTGCTGTCCCGGCGGCCTGGTCCTTCCAAGGTCACGGACCAGTACTGGTCCACGGCCTGGGGGTCGGGGACCCCTGGTTTAGGTGATGATCATAATGTCCCTTCCAGAAATTCTAAGATTATTATTGAGCTACCGGATAGCTCAGTGGTTTGGGTTTCTGGTTAGGTGATGATCATAATGTCCCTTCCAGCAATTCTAAGATTATTATTGAGCTACCTGATAGCTCAGTGGTTTGGGTTTCTGGTTACAGAGCCAGAGGTTGGGAGTTTGATTTCCCACTATGCCTCCCTGATGGGGAATGGTGTCGATGATCCATAGGGTCCCTTCCAGCTCTGTAGTTCTAAGATGATGATGATGATGAAATTACTGTAAACACATACAATTTTCATTTCCCTTGTGCTTGATTTGAGATCATATGCATTTCCTCTGCCATTTCTCTACAAGAGATTGAAATGGCACATTCTGATGAAGTTGTATGTTCACAATATTGTGTCCCCTCAGAAGAGATTTAGGGTGCTTTCCTGTTCTTTTTCCTGGATTCATTTTTCTGAAATTTATTTAAATATGGTTACGAACCCATCTCTCTCTCTCTCTCTCTCTCTCTCTCTCTCTCTCTCTCTCTCTCTCTCTCTCTCTCACACACACACACACACACACAATTTTTTTCACAAGCAGTAGAGGATAGTTGCATGTTTATGTACAGATTTTAATTCCAATGTACTGTCAGAAGGAATATTTTGTCATGTGTGCTGGTTTGAACAATTCCAATGTTAAAACAAAATATAATCATAAAATGTTATCAATATACTTGTCTCCAGCCTTAAAGTTTTGTCAAGATGGAGATTTTGCCCCCACAGAGTTGAGGAAATGCTGTAGGACAATGTCTAAAGCCCTATTATTGATTCTATTTTTGTTTTTATTTGTTGGTTTGCTTTTCTTGGTTTTTGTAAGAGGGGGCTTATGCATGTTTTCATTTTGCTGCTTTTTCCTGTGTGGAGAGAAGGTGTTTACCCTGTACAGTGGTGCCTCGCAAGATGAATGCCTCGCAGGACAAAAAACCCGTAAAACGATTGGTTTTTGCAATCGCTATGGTGCCTCGCAAGACAGTTTCTTCTATGGCCATGCTTCACAAGACGGCCCCCCCTCCGAGACCGATGCCTCGCAAGACGAAAAAATTTCATTCGTCTTGCGAGATGATTTTTCGCAAGACAGCACTTCTTGCAAAACGAATTGCATTCATCTTGCGAGGCACCATTGTATTTGTTTCAGTTTTTTAAAACTGATATTTGTTATTTGATTCATTTACTATGTTTGTTGTGTTAAAGGTGCATATTTTGGTGGTGGTGGGACTTTTGTTGTTTGTTTTGTTGTGTGCCCAGTGGCCAGGCAGTGCTTAGGTAGTTGCTTTCTTGTATATATCTGTTATACTGGCTGTGTGGCATTGAATTCACACTGTTTTTTTTGTTTGTTTTTTTTTGGTGCTTTACTGGTTTTTGAATTGGCTTGTAGCTGAATGTTTGCATAGGTTGCTGATGATTTTTTTTAAATGTACTGTTGCCTGCTTTTGGAGTAGATTGATTCTCTGTTGACTTGTGTCTCTACTTTTCTGGAATCATTTTTAAGAGTTTTGTAGGAATTCATTTTTAGTAGTGACAGGAAACATGGATGGAAAACCAGAAGCAAAAGACACGCTGACACCCCTGAAAGAAGCTTCCTCTTTCTTATGAACTGAAAGGACTGGCATACACAAAAAAGTAAAAAAGCACTTGTGAAAAAGAAGAGAAACAACATTTTTTTCCATGCACATCTCTAGTTTTCATTCATAAGTGTGTTGATGAAAGCTGAACAACTTTGGAGCTATTGCTTGCCACAGCAGAGATTCCAGTTCCATCGCATGGGCTTTGGGAATTTCATTTATTCATTTATTTTATCGGTAATTGTGATTACTTTTTTTATGTGCAGTATGACTTGCGCCAAATGTAACCATGGATTTTGCTGGCGTTGCCTGAAGCCTTGGAAACCAACTCACAAGGATTATTATAATTGCTCTGCTATGGTGAGTCGTATATTTATAGAGTGCCATTTCATATCCTCTCATATGGAACTGCCAAAGCATTAAGATCATTGGATGAATCCTTTCTCTCAGAGTGTCATCAGTAGAAGATGTTTAAGGAAAGTTTCACTGGTTTCACAGTGCTCTTTCCTAATGGAGTTTGATTAGTGCTATGAGGTAAACATAGTTACATTTGCTAAGGCGTTCTGTTTGATTGCATTATTTCCCCTGGTTGTGTAGCTTGTTGTTTGCTGCCTTTCCTTTTTTTTTCTTTTTTCTTGACAATTTAAGAAACAGTACTGCAGTTGTAACTTAGAATGTTTACACCTGTACACTGCCAAAACAAATAAATCATTTAGGATAATGGGTTGTCTAGAATGTTTTAAAATAAATGCATGTTTTCCTGTTAAACAATTCTTTTGCGTTTCTCTCTCTCAGGTGAGTAAAGCAGCTCGACAGGAGAAGCGTTTCCAAGACTACAATGAACGGTGCACTTTCCATCATCAAGCAAGGGTAAGTATTATTACCCTGTACTTGAACTTGCATCTCACCACCTATTTACTCACACCTAGGTCATCTTAGATTATGTGGCCATAGTAATCTCTTTTCAACAGTATAGTGTAGTGCAGCTCAAGTCTTGATAACACATTGTCACCTCATTCATTGAGGGAAGGCAGTCAAAGAAAAGTTGCCATTCTGCTTCAGACTCAGAGAAGACTATATATAAATCTGTTTGATGCCAGGATCTAGAAAGCAACAGCATGAGATGCAGGAGCTACGAAGCTTTAAAAAAGAGCTTGCACTGATTAATGTTTTTCTTCAGTTTGGAGAAGGCATATGTTTGAAGAGGAAGCAACCAGAGAAAGAAGCAAAAGTTTTCAGAAGCTTAAGGGCAGCAGCTTCAGAGGCATGTCTTTCTTGTTTCTGTTTGAAGGGACTACACAGAGAATCATATTTGAGCTTTCTACACATAAAGTCAAGTCACATGCCCAGTGGAGCTGTACAGAATTGCATTGTGCACCATACAACTAGTTGTCCGGGTCGAGTATCAGTAACAAAGGACAGGTGTTGGCTGATCCTTTGCTACATTTAAGATACAGGCAATTGATAGGATACTTAGCAGGGAATATGGTATTGCAGGTAGCCTTACCACATATCTACTTTTTTGGTATGTATGGTGGTTGCTTTCCTGTAGATCTGCATTAATAGTAGCCAGAATAAAACACAGTAGGTGTTTTATTCTCCTATCCAGCTTTAGCAATCTTCATGGTGGAGAAGGAATTCATAGCGTGCTGGTCTTAGTATCAGTGGCAGTACTTTGTAAAGAAGTACTTTACAACGGGCTTTCCTTGTAAAGAAGAAGGCTTTTTATGCCATTGTGTCTGCATGCCTGGAACAGTCAGCTAGTTAACCAAATAGAACATCAAACATTGGCTGAAATCCAGTAGAAAATCATAACTAGAGTAGTCCCATTAAATCAATGGACCTTACATAAGTGTTCACACATCAAAAGTCCAGTGACTCAATGAACCTACTCTATTTAGTTCTTACTTGATTTCAACCATGAAACACTTGAAAAGTTTAGAAAATTGTTCACTATGAAGATTGGATATCCTGGTGTGATGATGGATAGGTACTATAGTAAGTTGTTAGTAAGTGATGGCCTTGGGGAGAGAGTGCATTCATGTATGTGCAGCTAAAAGGAGAACTTGGGAGGAGGATAGGAAAATTGAGGCTGTTCTCTTTCATTGCAGGAGTTCGCCATGAATTTGCGAAACAGGGTTTCTAATGTCAGCGATGTGCCACAGATTCGGACTTTGACATTTGTTGTAGATGGCTGCAAAATGTTGGAACAGGCACGAAAAGTAAGTGCATCCAATCCGAGAGAGAGGCATAGAGAGAGAGAGAGACTCAGGGAGGAAAATACTCTCTTCTCTCATGTTATCAGCATCTGTTGCAGTTCATTCTCTTTCCGTCAGATAAGTGAGAATGGCCATATTTTGGGGGGAGCAAAAGTGAAAGGATGCAAGAATTTTGGTTTGGGCAGAAGAAATGAGATATGGCAGTTTAGAGACATAACCATTTGTAGGCAACAGTCTTAATTTAATAGCAATAGAGAATAACCGAGGTTTGCCTCAGTTCTCCAAAGCTTTAAGAGGGCAGCACAGGTCCTTCGTGGGGAGATAGCTATCCTTAGCCAGCTAATCCCAATGTGTCAAGTTGGCATGATGAAGGGCATAATGAGGGGACAATCTAGGAGGATGGGTGATCCATAGAAGGAGAACAGCTTTTTTTCCCCAGCCTGAGGTGGTAGTCCTTTAACCCCAAGTTAAAGGAACCTGTGCCACTACAGATTTGCCTCCTTGTGGAAGAAGGAGGATATTCTAGCAAGCCTTCTGGGATCCCCAAATTAAACAGTGGGCAATGGATATTAAGCAGCAGCAAAGGAAGGGAAGCCATGCCAGCCAACTTTTCACCATACTGTATGCAGCAGAAGCGAGTGAAGAAGGTCTGGCTAGCACCAAAGAGTCCCACAGAGCAGGAAGAAACTAGCAAACTTCATAATATCCCAAATAGCAGTACCAGCAGGTGTGTTCTAGGGTCCAAGACCCACACGCCTGCAATAACAGGGCAGGCTTTCCAGGACACGTCTCTTGACAAGCATGGCAGGAGCCTGTCCTTCAGAGACACCACCCCAGAGGAAAGACATAGCATTGTTTGTCAGTCAGTGCATCCTCCAGGACTTTGTCCTTGAAAGCATACGTTTTTAACAGGATAACCATGCCTAAGCTGAGTGTCACAGTGCAAAAAAAAAATGCATGTATTTTAGAAGGTTCACGTATTTTAGAAGGTTCTTTTGGAGTGTTATGGTATCTGCATTCACTTTCAAGAAACAACTTTTTACAGATAATACAAGGAAGCCATGTTATACTTAAATTGGAGTGTTGTTCCACATAGCGCAGAACTGTGTTGTTCCATATAGCGCAGAACTGTTGAAACTCGTAGAGAAGTGGTTCCTGGGCTTCTTAGAGATTCAAGGAATTAGGAGTTTTCATGTAGAACATGACTTCTATCATTAATCTAGGGCCCCTTATTTAGGGAGGAATATCTTCTGATTTTTTACTTATGGTTTTATCCACCTGGATTTATTTTATTTTCTGAGTTGTCCCTAGGTTGCCACTGCTCATAAGTGGCTGCACCATTTCTAGTCATAATTATGAAACTTTTACTGGAAATCAAACTGTCCATTAAATTTTAAAGTGTGTATATAAGAGAGGAAAAATCCAAGGCTGTAAAAGCAAAAGCAAAGTATGCTGCTTATATACTGCCCCACAGTGCTTAAAACACTCTCTGAGCAGTTAACAAATTAATTGTGCAGCTCTGCGTTGCAACCCCCCAACAAGCTGGCTACTCAGTTTATCGACTTTGGAAGGCTGAATGAGCCTCAAACCGACTATCTGGGATTCCACAGTAGTTGTGAGCAGACTTTTGGCTAAACTACTGCAGTTTTAAGTGTTGTATCATGAGGCTGAGAGCAAGCCCATACTGCCAGGAGGCTCCTGTACTTAAGAATTTCCTCCTCCTTCATCCCCTCTGCTGTCCATTAGTCCCTGAATAGCTCCAGAAAGTTCCCCAACTCTCTGGAGCACTTTTGAGGAGGACATTAACCTCCCTTTCCATTCTGTTGACTGCGAACCTTTCCATTGGGAGAGAGGCACTAATAGGATTCCAACACTTCACCACACAGTTGTTGTGGGTTTTTCGGGCTCTTTGGCCGTGTTCTGAAGGTTGTTCTTCCTAACGTTTCGCCAGTCTCTGTGGCCGGCATCTTCAGAGGACAGCACTCTGTGGTCCACCAGAGCACAGAGTGCTGTCCTCTGAAGATGCCGGCCACAGAGACTGGCGAAACGTTAGGAAGAACAACCTTCAGAACACGGCCAAAGAGCCCGAAAAACCCACAACAACCATTAGATCCCGGCCGTGAAAGCCTTCACGAATACACTTCACCCCACCCTGGTAATCTACATTCTCTTTCAGGTGCTGGCTTACTCCTGTGTGTACAGCTACTATAACCAAGATACTGAAAAGATAGATATCATGGAGCAGCAATCAGAGAACCTGGAGCTTCATACCAATGCCCTGCAGATCCTTTTGGGTGAGTAAAGTGAAAGAATCAGGAATAGCATGCATATGACTGGCACCGCCATTAAACTCTGGCTTACATGGAATTCTAAAAAGCTTAGGTGCTTAATTTTTCACCTGCCAATTAAGTTTTTGGATGCTTTGGCTATAAGACACAGTTCAGACAGTTAGTTCTGTTGTGACGTATTGTGAGGGTTCTGCTCTTCCCTATCTCCAAATAAACCAGGAGACGTTTTTAAGTCAAAAGTATCTTCTCTATTTATTAACTCTGGTAACTGAACAGAAACATCAAGAAGACTTGAAATGAACTTCTCCTGCGAGAACAATGGCTCAGGCAGGGGCAACCACATGTCCGTTTTGAAGGGGTTCGTCGATTTGTGCTCCCAGGGACCAGCCAAAACCTTTTCAGATTCTTGGGGCACATCTTCCCCTATGTCTGGTATTAGAAGGGGGATGGTGTCTTCGTCCCCCGACCATCCCCAAAGCGGCGATCCCTCTCCTGGGTGGGTATCCCAGGGGCCAGGAGGCAACCCATTTTCCTCAACTCCTCCGTATGTCATACTCTCTTTGCCTCCTTTTCTCTCTCTGCTGCCTCTCTCTTCTCTCAATCTGCACCGCCACTCCCGAGTTTCAGACTCACCCCAATAGGATGGGCGCTGTGGAAGTCCTTTTGTCCTCCGGTTTTCAGCTTCTTGTTTATGGACTCTCACTTGTTCTCACCGTCCAGTCCACGGATCTTGCATCCAAATCATTTCCCAACCCCTCCGGAATGTTGTCCGGGTTCACCTTTATATCTTCTGCTCCCGCCTCCACCACAGACCGCCCACTCCTCTTTTCCCGCCATTTCAGGGTAGGTCTGAGTGGCCACTGTTAACCCTCTCATTCCCCTCACTAAGTCTTGGGTGTCGACTCCTCGATGTATCAGTCTAGGAGGAATGGGAGGTGGAGTTGTCTGTGTCCCCTTAGATGCCTTGGGGAGAGACAGCACCCCCACCAGAGCTTCTGGATTTGGGTCTCGGGATCCACACATATGTGCTTCCACAGACTTTCATATGGTACTGATTCCATAGTTGACCCAGCCAGTTTTCTCCAGTCTGATCTATGAAAGGTCATTAGAGGACTAAAATATCATAACCCTCTCATTCCCCTCACTAAGTCTTGCGTGTCGACTCAATGTATCAGTCTAGGAGGAGTGGGAGGTGGAGTGGTCTGTGTCCCCTTTGATGCCTTGGGGAGAGACAGCGCTCCCACCAGAGCTTCTTGACCCAGGTCTCGGGTTCCATACATATGTGCTTCCACAGACTTCCATACGGTACTGATTCCATAGTTGACGCAGCCAGTTTTCTCCGGTCTGATCTATGAAAGGTAATTAGAAGACTAAAATATCAATACAGTGGGGTCTTGACTTGAGAACTTAATCCGTATTGGAAGGCGGTTCTCAAGTCAAAAAGTCTGTAAGTCAAGTCTCCATTGACCTACAGTGCATTGAAAACTGATTAATCCCGTAACAGGCCGTTTTTGTTCCATTTTGGTTTTTTTCTGGTCTGTAAGTCAAATCTCAGTCTGCAAGTCAAACCTAAATTTTGTGGCCAGAGAAGTCTGTAACTCAAAAAGTCTGTAAGTCAAGCCGTCTGTAAGTCAAGGGTCCACTGTAGCTGTATCAGTAATGAAATCCTGCCATCCTTCAAGACCGCATTCTCTTGGGCAAGGGAAGTATCTAGAGCCAATGGTTAAGATGGAGATCTAGAGCCAATGGTTAAGATGGAGGAAATACTGTAGCTTCAAAGCTTCTTTTCTCTGAGTACCATATGCTGAAGAACACAGTCTCAAACAGCAAGAATCAGTCTTGCTTAAGCTTTCATTCTATGTGGTAATATTTCATCGGGGCTCTGGATGTGGACCATAGATGTCTGTTTGTCCATTCTTCATTTATAGCAGCTGCTGGTTTCCTCCTAAACCAATAGGAAGGAGTACAGTACTAGAATTGAGTACTTGTTTTCTGTATTAATTATGGCTCTAGTAGAGAAGGCTGATGTAGATTTGCCAGCTTTTTGTCTGGTGGAGAGTGCATGCTTTTCGGTGCTGCCACACACTGAATGGAGAGTGCATGCTTTTCGGTGCTGCCAAACACTGAAAGTAGATAGAACCACTGTGATTACTGCTGTATTCGTTTACCAGTCTCCTTCTTCACTTTCTACATCACTTGTAACCAGCAGGACTGTTGCTTTAGCCTGTAACAGGCAAGAGAGCAGAGTAAGCAAAGACTGCACCATAGTGAGGAACCTGTGTTTGAAAGTCTTTTTGTGCATTCAAGGGGAGGAGTCGTCCATATCCAAGCTAAAAACACTGGAGAAAGAGCGATTCTCTGTGGTGTAGTGTTACACTTCTGGTTTCCAATGAAATTTACTTCATGCGAGGCAGAAGGGAACCTGTCTGCCTGCCTGCAGCTTCTGCTTTAGCTAATTCAGCTTTACCCTTTTGGTCACTGCTGCTGAGCTTACATCCTGAAAAATGATGATATTCTGGCCTTTTATTTTTTCAGAAGAGACGTTGCTGCAGTGCCAAGATCTTGCCTCTTCCATTCGGCTACTCAAAGCAGAGCATTTCAATACGGGTCTAGAATTAGTACGCAGGATCCAAGAACGACTCCTAGCAATTCTGCAGCATGCGACTCAGGTGATGCCTGGTTTCTTTTTGCCTGTTTTGTTTGGTCTTGTAGCAAAACCGAAAATGCTAATACAGAAGTAGAACTAGATTCTTAATGGTGCCGTTTGCTCAGGAGGGAGGTCACCAGTGCCAGAATCTGGGCTGCTCTTAACTTCTGACCTTTCTTGTTTCTTGGCAGGACTTCCGTGTTGGGTTCCAGACCAGACAAGGCTCTGAACAGAGGGAGGTTAAATTATCCAATGTGCCTAATAGTACTTCTGCATATAAAGAGTGAGTTTTCATCCTAGGATATTCAGGACAATAGGTCCAGGTTGTGGTGGTGGGATTATATTCTTAGTGATACCATAGTGATATGGTTGGGGATTTATTTATTGGTTACATTTATACTACCTTTCTTCCAGTGAGCTCAAGATGGTGTTGTACATGCCTTTCTTCCAGTGAGCTCAAGATGGTGTCGTACACAATTTTTGCTCTTTCTCCCTAGTTCATCCTCATAGCCACATGTGAATTAGGTCAGGCTGGGAAAGTGGGACTGACCCGAGGTCATCCAGTGAGTTTCATGCCCCATATTTCCCAGCTTACAATCCAACACTCTTAACCAGTATATCTAGATTCATTGTAAAACTGATTGAACTGTTTAATATCTTTTGAAATCTAGTACTCTTGATACTAGGGTGCATTCTTTCTCTCTCGCAGGAGGTACACTCTTTCTCTTGTACAGCTTCTCTGTCCTCCACAATGAGCTGGGCAGGTTGGCAGATCAGGTACTCTGAATCAGTGGCCTTTAGAATAGGCAAGATTCTCCTGTGAGCAAGATCAGACGCCCTCTATGAGCCACCCTTTGGATTGCTACCATTGTAATATATAAATGTGCTGTTTATTAAAAGTACATGAGAGTGCACCTCTAATGCTGCACAAGCCATCAAAAGAGCCGTAAGCTATAACTGATAAGAAGGTGCAGTCCAACATTTCAACAGGTTCTTGAATCGGAACCATATTCCGCATTGTGATAGTAAACAGTATGAGCCAAGAAGGCCAGTTAAGTATTTTTTTAAAGTTGTAATTTCTGTTTAAAACAGGGTGTGTATGTGAGTGTGGGTGGGTGGATATAGAGAGACAGAAAGAAATGAGTCACTGAGGATTAAGAAGGGGAGAGCCCCAAAGAGCATGGAAAGAAAAGACAGAAACAAGAGACACTGAGAAAGGAATGAAAAAGAGAGAAGCCATTAATTAAGAAAACAGAGGGAGAGATAAGATCTGCAGAGAGAAAGAGACAGAGTTCTCTGAAATATTTTGTGGCTGCAGGAATCTGAAGCAACTCTTCCACTGTCTTTTCCACTCCCCCTTCCCTTCTAAGGTATTTAGATAGAACAAGCCAGTGGCTATATATTTTAAAGTCAGCCCTATTAAGTTTAACATTACTGCCACATGTGAATTAGGTCAGGCTGGGAAAATGGGACTGACCCGAGGTCATCCAGCGAGTTTCATGACCCATATTTCCCAGCTTACAATCCAGCACTCTTAGAGAGACAGAAAGAAATGAGTCACTGAGGATTAAGAAGGGGAGAGCCCCAAAGAGCATGGAAAGAAAAGACAGAAACAAGAGACACTGAGAAAGGAATGAAAAAGAGAGAAGCCATTAATTAAGAAAACAGAGGGAGAGATAAGATCTGCAGAGAGAAAGAGACAGAGTTCTCTGAAATATTTTGTGGCTGCAGGAATCTGAAGCAACTCTTCCACTGTCTTTTCCACTCCCCCTTCCCTTCTAAGGTATTTAGATAGAACAAGCCAGTGGCTATATATTTTAAAGTCAGCCCTATTAAGTTTAACATTACTTATTCCCAAGACATAACTGAACCTGCAGTTTGGTACCAATGAACTCAGCAGTAAGACTCTTCGAGTTACATTGGACTTAACTTCTGAGCAAGAGGGTACATTAGGACTGCAGCCTTATCCCAAGACTAAGGGTCATTGAATTCAATTGGATTTTCTTCTGAGTACTGTATGTTGGCAGAAAAGATGATTTGCATACAGTCTCCAGAAGTGTCTTTGTTTGGGCTGACATTACAAAGTGCCAAAAGCAGTTGCTCGTGTAATCTTGTGTGAGCCTGCTCAGAAGAAAAGCCTTATTGATACTGAATTCAGTTGAACTTACTTCTAAATACAGCAGTGCCTCGCAAGATGATGTTAATTTGTTCCACGAAAAAGGCTGTCTTGCGAAAACATTGTCTTGCGAAATGCGGTTCCCCATTGGAATGCATTGAAATCTATTTAATGCATTCCAATGGAAAAATCATTGTCTTATGAAAATCGTCCATAGAAAACATCATCTTGCGAAACACGGTTCCCCATTGGAATGCATTGAAATCTATTTAATGCGTTCCAATGGGGAAAAATTGTCATCTTGCGAAAATCATCCATAGAAAAAACATTGTCTTGCGAAGTGCAACAGCGATCGCAAAAAACAATCGTCTTGCAGATTAATCATCCCGTGAGGCGATTGTCTTGCAAGGCACCACTGTACATATGGTTCTATAACCTAGACCTTCCAGTTATTTTTTTCCATTGTAAATTGGGATATATTGTACTTTGTGGTGTTAAACTTCTGTTTTAAAAAGCCAGAAAATTCAGTGTTCAAAATATTTTTTTGGTTTATGAATGTGGGATATTTTTTGTGTGTGCCCCAATTCAGAAAATTTGGAAATTGTCTGACATTGGCTTGCAACATCATACCTATGTTGCCAGCAGAAAGAGAAGGATAACAAGTTTTACATAGCAGATGCCAGCCTGAATGTCAATGCCACCAATATCAGCAGTCAAAATGGCGTACAGGATCCCCTCTTGAGGTTGCTGGCATACATAAACAGAAATCAAACAAGAGAAAATCCGAGCACTTGACCTTTTTGTTTTCATCTTTTAATTGCATTTCTCCCAAACACAAAGCTATTGTCATGGCTGTTTTTCCTTAAGTACTCTAGGTATTTATTGCATGGAGTACAAATAAATGCCTAGAAGAAATCCTCTGTTGACATATGGACATCTGAGTTATCAGGTGCTGTGATCAACCTTCTGCTTGTAGTCGCTAAATCACAGTTGCTGGTTCACCCAGGTGATCAGTCACACAGATGTGTGAACTGGCCCTTGACATGACCCTGTTAAGAGGAGTGGCTTTGACTTCTGATTTCAGTTTTTGGACATGGTGGCTTCAAAGAATTGAGTATTTCATCTTTCTTTGTATCTCTATTAAATAATCCTTCTATGAGATGACTAGTGGTAGTAACAGAACTTTACTTGGTAGCTGCTACTCGCTCCCATGTTTTGATCTGAAATGCAATCAATGTGCCAAACACAAGCTTATGATGAATACATTCTGTGGTAGGGAAGAAGCCAAGAGAATACAGTGGTGCCTCGCACAGCGAGGTTAATCCGTTCCAGATTAACCCTCGCTGTGTGAAAACATCGCTGAGCGGGACAGAAAAGCCCATTGGACCGCATTAAACAGTGTTTAATGCGTTCCAAAAGGCTCCTTTACTCACCGTTCAGCGATTAAGAGGAGTGGCTTTGACTTCTGATTTCAGTTTTTGGACATGGTGGCTTCAAAGAATTGAGTATTTCATCTTTCTTTGTATCTCTATTAAATAATCCTTCTATGAGATGACTAGTGGTAGTACAGTAACAGAACTTTACTTGGTAGCTGCTACTCGCTCCCATGTTTTGATCTGAAATGCAATCAGTGTGCCAAACACAAGCTTACGATGAATACATTCTGTGGTAGGGAAGAGGCCAAGAGAATAGTTGATGTTATTTGCTGCCCCATGAGTCTTTTCATGGGACAGCAGCTGATAATTCAGTAAAAGGAGGTGCGAAATTTACGTCTGCGTAAGTATGGATTCTATAATGTGAAAGTCGCAATCAGGAATTCAGGTGTTCTGACTTCTCTTCCACAGATTAAGCAAAAGTCCAGTATGCAAAATAAATAAATAAATAAAAATCACACTTTTGATGTCTGAGAATGAACTAAAACCTGAAGGTTTTTGCAACAAGTATCCATATCTTTCCTTTAGGTCAATTTCCAAATCAAGATCTGTTGTTCTCCCACTGTTATCCATCTAAAATTTATCTTCTAAAAGAACAGTTGACCTGAGTAATATATGAAAGAAAGACATTATTGGTGTAGTGAATAAAGTGTAAGGCTAAGACACAGATAACTTGGCTTAAAATCTCCACTTTACTGTGGAAACTCACTCATGGTATAACAATGGCAAACCACTCTTTGAACATCTCACATACCTCATAAGGCTGAAGTGACTCAATGGCACATAAGGACAATACAACTGTAGGACAGGAACCTGACCGCAGTTTTCTTCTGACTACCAATACCTAGGAATGCCATGCAGTGGATTGCATGGTGTGGAAACACCTTGGATGCATACACTTAAATGAAAGTCATGTTTCTTCTGGGCATTCAGATTGCTTTGCACTTCAAGGAATAAATATCTAGAGAACTTGACAAACACAACAGATATGACAGTTGTTCTGTGTTTGGTGAGAAATGGATAACAAGAAAAAAGGAGTTAAGTTCTAGGATTTTCCCATTTGGTATCTGTTTTTGAAGTATACTGAGTGCGGGAGGGGATCCTGTAGGCAACCTAACTGTGAACACTGGTGCAATCAACATTCAGTCTAGCCTTTGCTATGTACAGCTTGGCATCCTTTCTTCTGCTGGCAGCACAGACATGATTCTGTCAAAGCCATGAAGTGCCCAACATTTTTCAAAATCTGCTAGTTGCGTTGGTTTAGATCCAAGGCAATCAGATAATGTTATTATAAATATTGGCTCTTAAGTTTTAAAGAAAAGGCCTGATGTTTAGGGTGACAGCATTGCCTGTAGCGTATTTGTCTTTCGTCTGGTTGGGCAAAAAAGGATGCAGAGACTGTTAGGATTTTGAGCTCTAATCTATTGTTTTGCTCTAAGTATCAGAAAAATGTACAGTATGTACTGACTTCTTTGTTTCTGCACAGGCTGCTTTTTGGTGAGGCATCGGATTCGCCTGACACTGATGATGGTGGCAAAGAGGAGGAAGATGATGAAGATGAGGAATATGTCCCTGAGTGGCAGGATGAATATGATGATGATCTTGATGATGATAATATTTCTTATGATGATGAATCAGAGAATCTTGAGAGGGATTCTTTCATTTTTGAAGATGAAGATGATGTTTATGATTAGAGCTGGCCTTTTATCCCTCCCCATTCACCACCAAGAATTCTGAAGTGAAACACTGCCTGTCACTTAGGTATCCTGCTGCATTCTGTATTCTACTTCTGTCATGGTCAAAAACAGGGAAAGGAGTAGGTTTTGTGTTGCACATGGGGAGGGGAGCTGTACTCTAGTTTACAACGAAGGGCAGTCTTCTGTTTGAGATGGCCACCTTGTACTCTTGGTAAAAAAAACACTGTGCTAATATATCCATGACTTTCATCAGCTCTTGGCAAGGGAGAGGAGACATCTAAGCTTTCTTCATACTCTGCCTTAGGGAGTAAGACCCTGTGCCAGTCTACAGACAGGATTATCCACTGCTTCTGCTGTGCTATAGGCTTCAAGGGGCCTGATTTCATACTCTTACCAGTGACATGAATCCCAAGAAAGAGTAACAATAAAGGTTTTTGAGTGGCAGGTTTAGCCCAATGACTTTTGTTTCCTTCTACGTATGTTCATTCTGACAAATAACATGGAAGTGCCAGTCTTTGTATGTTCAGCACACACATACACATACGGTGTGTCTTCTGTTCCTCTCTTCACGAGAGCAATTCTTGTTTATTTCAGTCGCAAGTCTAGAAAGCCGTGAGATTTGTTGCACAGGGGGAAAGGCTTTGCCAAGTTGTAGAGAAAGTAATTCAGGTCATTGTGCACATTTGGAGATGAAAATTAGTGAATTTGTTTTTTTTTAAAAAGAGTCCCAAGTTGAATAAAAATGCCCTACTATCTGACAGGCGGTTCTTTGGATAGCCACTAGTCTGAATGGATGTGGTTTTATGTGTGTTTCTTTCACAGAGAAGCAAGTTCTTTTTTTCTCTCTCTCTTTGGTTCCTTTTTATTGGAATCATCTTCACTTCCTGCAGATGGGGATGATGCAGGATGTAGAGATTCAGAGGGTTCGTATATATATAATATAAATATATATATATATATGCAGAAGCTGAAAACTGTTCAGATTATTATGCTTTATCTTTTTTTGAAAATGAAAAAGAATCCTGAAAGAACAAGATTATACAACTTCTGTTTAAGAAATAAACAGTTTTTCTTCTATTACTGTCCTAAGTGTGAGTCTATTCTGCTTCCCCAAATTTCTCAACTCTTGTTTCATTATGTCAAACTGGATGTTACAAAGTAATGAAAGACACCTGTCATTGATACCATATTTTCTAACTTTACTTCCTAATTTTCAAGGGGGCAGGAGAACTTGCAAGTTCGATGGCATAACGTGCAGTTTCTGTTCTTTGTTATAGAGATTAAAGGGGTGTTCCCCAGTCCCTTTGGAAAAAATACTTCTCCTGCCCTATATTTTATGAAATGGCAAATAATTGTATAGCAGTGTCAGCAAGTAATTTAGGAAATAATATAAATTCATATGGTGTTTCATTTATTTTAATGGTAGATTCTGAAGTCTGTCCAGGCTCTTAATTCAGGCTTTTTTTGTTTGTTTTAGTCAGTATTTGTTTTCTTGTGTTTCATGCCTCTAAAACAAAATTCACCCTGTCACCAAACAATCCTGATCATTCCAGTGGATCAGAGTATCACTGTTTGGATCTTGACGGTATGAATCCTAAATTATAGTTATTTACTTATCTTATTTATAGGCAACATTTTTCCCATTAAGGGACTCAAGGTGGCTCATAGTATGAAAAAGCATTGAATTAAAACACATTAAATTATGCATTAAAAGCAAACTATAATACTAATTAAAATACACTGAATGATTTTAAAAAATAAAAATTTAAAAAATAAACGTAACTAAAAAATGGCAGTCACAGACTTAGTTGTGATCGTTAAAAACCTGCCTGAAGAGGTAGGCCTTCAGCTGTTGGTGGAAAGATAAAAGGGAGGGGGCAATCTAACTTCCCGAGGGAGAGCATGCTACAGTCTAGGAGCTGCCACAGAGAAGGCCCTCTCTCGTGTCCCCATCGACTGTGCTTGCACTGGAAATGGGACCAAAAGGAGGGTCTCCTGATGATCTTAAGAGCAGAAAAGGCTCATATGGGGATATACGGTCCTTCAGGTAGCCTGGATCCAAGCTATATAGGGCTCTAAAGGTAATGACCAGCAGTTTGAATTGGTCCCAGAAATGGATTGGTAGCCAGTGCAGTTATTATAGCAAATGTGTTGTATGCTGCCTATACAGTGGTGCCTCGCTTGACAACGATAATCTGTTCCGTTCAAATCGCTGTTAAGCGAAACTGTTGTCAAGCGAAAGTAAAAAACCCATTGAAATGCATTGAAAACCAGTCCATGCGTTCCAATGGGTGAAATACCTCATTGTGCAGCGAAGATCCTCCATAGGGTGGCCATTTTCCGATGCCTGTAAAGCGAAGAATCCATCCTGAACACAGCGGAGAGCCATTTTGAAACCCCAACGATCAGCTGTTTTTGATCGTTGTTAAGCAAAAAATCGGTTCCTGAAACAGAAACAGATCGTCAGCAAGCAGACTTTCTGCATTTAAACATCGTTTTGCAATCACAATAGCGATAAAAACTTCGTAAAGCAGATTCATCGTGGAGCGGGGTAATCGTCAAGCGGGGCACCACTGTAATTGGCTCCAGCCAGTAGTCTGGCTGCTGCATTTTGAACCAAGTGAAACTTCTAAACTGTCTTCAAAGGCAGCTCCAAGTAGAGTGCACGTTACAGTAATCCAAGCAGGATAAGAAATATAAATATATAAATGATAAATAAAATGGCCTATCAAAATATGTCAGAGGTGAATTCTGGACTGAAAAAAGGATGAGGACTGCTACAAAGCATGAAAAAGTGGCATTATAGTAACAACATGGAAGAGTAATAGGTTTTTTAAAAAGAAATTTGAAGGCATTTATTTAGTGTTGGAAATGGGTTAGTTTGATAAAGCTTGCACAAGGCTGAGAAAGAATTGCCAAAGAGTTACCAACAGATTGGAGCTAAAGAAATAGCTACTCTGGTCCTGTTTTTGTTACTCCACAAATTGCATGCAAAGCAGACTGTAGAGCAATTTTAATGTTTTTCAGCTCTGCTTGCTTCTTACATTTGTTCAGTGTTTAGTTAGGAGTTCATTAATTAAATAAATTTCAGACCCAAAAACCAAGAATGGTCTTGGATTCCACTGAAAATAAAATGTTGTAAAATTCAGTGAGAGGCACTTCACTTTATAGAACTGGCATCCTTAATCTTCGTATCATAGACTTGGACAATATGTCTTTATCATGTCATTTGTGATGTATTGATTTATTTCTGAAAATGTATATTGTGCCCTTAAACTAGTCAGTAGGCATTTTTAGGACTGTTGCGCAATTCAGTTACTGGAGTAGACTTTGACATAGTAAGAATTAAGATGCATTCTTGTTTCCATGGAAAATACTAATTTTTTTATGTGGAGGGGTGTTAACATTTGATCTGTATATCACCTTCATAACTTAGAATTCATGTATTAATTGTGCAGTTTATACATTATCTTCTTGCAGACTTCAGATGTTTGAGTGGATAATGATAAATGCACACTCCAGATTCTGCACAATTTGGGTGTTCGCTGTGAAGAGAAACTTATAAATCCTGCCTTTTGCATCTGAAAGTGACATTTAGAGGTGGCAGGATTAACTCTTTCTAATGACAAGGCTGCCACTTGGTTATGTTGTGGGCTGGTGAGTAAAGTCCAAGGGCTTTGTTTTGTACTCCTTTGTGCTGCTATTTTTGTCTTTCAGTTTAGAAGCTGCTTTTTAATACCCAACACATGAGTGGTTAATCATCACTGACATCTATTATGTCTTAGTGCTGAGATTTGTGAATCAATGGCTATTAAAGTGCTGGATTCCAATTCATTAGGTCAGTGGTGATGGGAGTTGTGGTCCAATGTCTGGAAGGTCCCTGGATGGCCCCAACACACTGGGAAACAATTGGCCTTTAACTAAAATACTTCAAGATGAGCAACGGGGAGCCTTCAGATAGTAAGTATCCCAAAGCACAATTTGATTAAAAGAGGTAATGCTCAAAATCCTACAAGGTAGGCTTCAGCGGTACAAGAAGTACTCCCAGAAGTACAAGCTGGATTTCTAGTTCTGGAGGAACTAGAGACCAAATTGCTAACATGCGCTGGATTATGCAGAAAGCCAGAGAGGTCCAGAAAAATATCTACTTCTGCTTCATTGACTATGCAAAAGCCTTTGACTATGCTTTTGAATTGTGGTGCTGGAGGAGACTCTTGAGAGTCACCTGGACTGCAAGGAAATCAAACCTATCCATTCTGAAGGAAATCAAACCTGAGTGCTCACTGGAAGGACAGATCCTGAAGCTGGGGCTCCCATACTTTGGCCATCTCATGAGAAGACTCCCTGGAAAAGACCCTTATGTTGGGAAAGTGTGAAGGCAAGAGGAGAAAGACGACAGAGGATGAGATGGTTGGACAGTGTCATCAAAGCGACCAACATGAATATGACTCAACTCCGGGAGGCAGCGGAAGACAGGAGGGCCTGGATTGCTCTGGTCCATGGGGTCACGAAGAGTCGGACACGACTTAACGACTAACAACAACAAAATTGTCCAGAGTACGATCAGAAACTTTTTAGGCCATTGAACTGGAGAACAGAGTTTAAAGGGCAACAATTCACATTTCTTAATTACCAGCAACCAAGGAGGGGAAACCTATAACATCAGAAAAATATAACATCATTCTTGCTACTATATTTCTGAAAAATACTCCCACTGAAGCCAACTCTAAAGTTATAGCATATGGGAACATATTGTTGCTGAGTGGTACAGTTATATTGTGAACACAATCAGACACACTTTGGTGTCATCATGCACTCTAGGAGAACCATGTAACTGAAAACAATTTTTGGGCTGAGTTCTTATTCACTAATATTCGATTATCTTTGGGGAGTAACATGATTCTTTCAGTAAATACACAAAAAGTGCTTTATGCTTCTGGATTTATTTTCCTAATTAAATCACTTCAGAGTAGTGAAATACTGAGTGATATCAAAGCAAACCAAGACTTACTTTTCATACTGGTGTAATATTTAGGCTCCTCAAACATAGTGTTGGGAGGCTGATACATTTACTGTACTAATCTAGAATAACTCTTATTTACATATTCAAATTCACATAAGTGGATCTGTAGCTGGTTGATGAGCCATACCCAGTAAATGCTCACCAATGGTTCTCTGTCATTCTGGAGAGAATTGACATGAGGTGCTGCAAGAGTCCTGTGCAGTGTTGTTCCATATCTTTATTAAATAAGTTGGATGAAGAAGTAGAGAGGATTGCCATCAAATTTGCAAATAACACTAGGGGTGCAAATACTTCAGAAGACAGAATTGGGATTCATGAACTTCACTCTTTGGAGAAATGGGCCAAAACAAACAAAATGGGTTTCAGTAGAAATTATGTGATGTTGTGTTTTTAGGTGAGGAAAGGAAGTTGCAGACTACAGAATGTGAAACATCTGGTTTGACAATACAATGTGTTGAAAAGTATCTGAAATGGTCTTCATAGAACATAAACATAATCTTAGAACTACAGAGCTGAAAAGTACCCTACGGATCATCGAGTCCAGTCCCTGTAAAGGAAGTACAGTGTGGAATCGAACTCCCAATCACTGGCTCTGCAGTTGGATGCCTAAACCACTGGTTCTTAACCTTGGGTTAGTCAGATGTTTTTGGACTGCAACTCCCAGAAGCCTTCACCACCAACTGTGCTGGCTG